AACGTTAGGAAGTGATACGTTAATACAAGTGTGGAATGATGACAAAAATTTAAAGAAAGTCGCGGATAAGGGTTACAAAATGATAGTAGGAAGTAGTGATTATTGGTATTTGGATTGTGGTCACGGTGCATGGCTTGGGAATTTTGTGAATGGAACTAGTTGGTATGTGGAAAATTTTTCTATTACTGTTGGCAAAGTTAAGCAATGTTTTCTTACACTCTATTTATTCTAGGTGTGATCCATACAAAACCTGGCAAAAGGTATATTCCTACAATCTCACTACTGGACTGACGGACAAAGAGGCTAAATTAGTAATTGGAGGTAATGACTTCTTGTTTAGGTTGACAGTAATGAATGTTTCAACTGATCTCTAACCATTCCTTAACTACAAAAAAGGTGAAGTACTCTTATGGTCAGAACAATCTGACCCCACTAACTTTGAAAATATGCTTTGGCCAAGGTCATCAGCGGCCGCCGAAGTTCTATGGTCGGGCGTTAATAACCGCAGCGTAGTCGAAGCACTACCAAGGTTACATGATTGGCGGTTTAGAATGGTAAAACGAGGCATTAAAGTTGAACCACTGCAACCGCTTTGGTGTGTGAGGAATGGGGGTTGTGATTTACCACATTGAACGAATCAAACAGCTTTTTAACTTCAACAATTTCAGTTAAATTGTGGATATTTAATTGGGTATAAGGGTTTATGAAAATTGAGTATGTCTTTATGTGGACATACTTTGTATGTTCAACTAAAATAATTACCTGGCATTAAGAACATTAATAATTTATTCATACAAACAATTGTCACAGATGGTGATTGCTTAAATGAGAATACTTTTTTTCCTCTGTTGTATTATTGTTTATCCCAAAAGAAACACTTTTTTAATAAACGATCATATTATCATTTATAAAATGAGTTATTTAATTCGTCGCCATTCGTTTTTATTTTTATTTTTGACATCAGTACCTAAAAGATAACACAAAAATTTTAATATACAGTAAATAATTTAATAATTTGTGTCAAAAAACTTGTCACTAGTAAATATGTTTTTTAGGAAAGATTATAATGGTCAGTTTTCTGAATATAAGGTTTCTTTAAAAGGACGTGTAGTTACTGTTAATGCTATACTCTATCTTCTCTGATGATATGAAATTTATGCTTGCAAAAATGTTCTTCGTTATCATAAACGAGCTTGAATACGTTTGATATTGTGATAAAAATTACAATTGTCGAATAAACATTATTTGTATATTACAAATAACACTAATGGATTCAATAGGATAGAAGACAATTAAGACCGACATCCGAAATTGTCGTATTCTTGCTCTTGCTGAGATTATCTATAAATAATTGCCTATCTGAATCCAATTTTCCCGGTATGCAAATATTACACTTTATTTTTTCTATTATAGTATTAAAGCCGTATCGCAGGTCCCGGGCATGCATATATAACTGAAGATCTGTTTCGCGAAGAGTAAAACCATCAGAAACCGCAGATGACATACACAACTCAATTGGCAAAACGACAGATGATGAAGAGAAGGAAGAGGTGAAACAAAAAAGATTACAGCATAGAAGGATAACGTAAAATAATATGTGAAAAAATTACTGCATTGCTATTATTATATTATTTCTTTTTTGTCTTTATTGATTTATTGTATTATCAAAGACGTAACGTCTTAAATTACCTTTCTCAACTACTGCACATTGCATATTAAATTTTTTTAAATACTGTAATATATATTTTAATTTAAAAAATTGAATTACAAAAAAGTATATACAGTATCAATCTATCAGGTTTATAAAATACTATACTGTATAAAAAAAAAAGAAAAAAGAAAAAAAAAAAATAATGTTTTTATGTTAATTATAAAACTAGCTTCTTACATGTCACAATATGACACATAATTATTCAAGATTTTATAAATTTAATTATATGTAAGAAATATAACATATTATTTTTATACAACATATGAAATTTTTTTTATAAATTTTCTTTATATACAATATTTTTTAGTTCTATTGCAACCTGAGAAAAATCATCTGTAAATTGCAGAGCTTCGCAATGATGGCTCGATGGTAGAGAGCAATAATTTTTTCTGGCTAAGCATCTCTGTTGTATATTTTGCTCTCATTCATGTTGCCACTTGGCAGCTGAAAAAGTAGCCCTCTAGTTACACTTGGAAATAGTTTTACGCACTCTCACCAATTCTGTATTCAGTCCCTTTTTTATAAGTGGCTGGCAGTGCATTTGTGTGGTTATTCTTTGCTTATGTGTGTAGAGTAAAACATAGTACGTTGAAAATGACGGAATTTAGGGATCATTATTACAAAATTAAAATTAGCACTTTAGACTCACGATAACGAAGTCAATTTGCTCACTCCAATATCTCATAAACTACACACTCCTTCAAAAGCATCATCGTACTGGCGCAGAAAAAATTTTAAATTAGATCATGATCTTTCCGGAAATAAATATTTAAAAATCGCGCGCGTCGTCAGATGGTTTCAAAGTTACTATTACATATGGCCAATACGCACTAGACTTTGCTTGGTATCATAGTAAACAACATTAAAGTTCACATATGAGTACAGATTAACACCCTCCACGCGTCCAAGGATGATATCCCCTACTTGCGGGCTAATAGGATGTCTAAACTGTTATGCTCACTTTCTCAGAGATGAACCAATATTTGCGCCTTAATCATTCGATTTATAATAAAACTTATTTTAAAAAATTAATAACTAACCTGGGCAAGAATCTTGAGAAGCTTATTTTGTGTTAGCGTACTTTGAGAATATATATTTAGTGAAGAATCAATAGCATTCTGCACTATTGTTCTCGATTCTTTTGAAATCCAGGGTTCGTCTTCTATAACCTGGTATATGACAGAAACAGCAGTTATATGTTCCATCGAGATTACCGAGATCAGATATATAAATTGGTTAGAGATTTATCGGATGTTCAAAAACATTTAGCTTCTGTATCTTCTTCCTTACCACAGACTTGAGATAAGAAAACCTCTACGAAGAAAGCTTTCGTTAATATGAATTCCTGTACCTGGAGAAAGACGTAATCGTAATTCGGAAAAAGTTTGGCATTGAGAGCAATACGATGCGACAAATTCCGACTCCAGCTAAAGATCTTAATTTTGTATGAATCATACCCATGATATTACGTAACATAGATCAAAATTCGCAAGATCACGAGTAATGCAAATACTAATCTAGACATATATCACACTTGGATCAAATCTTTTTGACAGCTCAAAAAAAAAAAGGTTAAATTTCAACCACTTGGCGCTTTGGTGAAAGCATTTTCTTCAGGGATGATTCATTTACCACACAAGCCGTTAAGCGAGACCAGGTGGGTAGGCATCACACTGATTCATTTTGAGAATCGTCTCGTATTGATTTGTATGGATTGCAGTGTTCCTTATCTGCTTGCCTCAGACATATCTGTGCAAGAATTCAATTCTTTCATCGAAAGCAAAGAGCCAAGTGGATACAAATTTGAGTACAACAACCGCTGTGTATATATAGTCGACATGTGCTCAGGTGAACATGAAGCTGCTATTGAAGTATTACGAGATTGCTTCCGTGCTCCCTTCCCTGGTACTCGCTCTATAAATTGTCCTGTCCAAATTCGTGGACAGCCACGTAAGGGAATTCTTCCAGTTTACTTGATCCTTGGCTTATTGATTTCTAATATTTCGCATCATCTTTCCACAGTCCATATGTCACCAGTTCGAGACGGGTCCTGTATTGCACCGGATCTCGCTATCCTTCCACATTCTGCTTACGTTCCACCGCCTCCCGTTCCCTACCCTGGTCCGCCTCCAAGTGACATAAGGGTAATTTGTCATATCTATTTTCATAATACTGATATGGTTATAGGTACTATTGGTAATACTAATATGGTTGATGTAGGGAAACCCTTATGCCAGAATAATTTGTGAGGTAGCTGTGGCCCAAAGCTCCCAAAACTTGAACATCAAGTGCAGGCTATGGAAGCGGGAGGAGTACGTACAAGATGTACTCGGTATCAAACTTTACGATGTAAAGACTACACGCAACAACCCACAAGGAATGTTAGATCGGGCAATGAAGGTATATTTCGCTGTTTCATTATTAGTTAAGTTTATATCTTACTAATAATTTTTCAATATTAGGCTACGCTTTGGCGGTCAGGAGTCTCAAGGCGAAAGGTAAGGTTTACTTGTTGGAAGAACTTCCTACTTCCTGTGATGCTCAAAGTGCATTTTATATATAACAGTGGAAGTTTGGAACCGTGAAAAAAGACGGGTCTCCTATTGGCCCTAATGGTTGTAATGGCCCGAACGACCCAAACTATTTAATAACGATCCCCGTCGCCGATGTCTTTTTCGATCCGCCGGTTCCTAATATTGCGTATGTTCCATTAGCACCACCTCCTCCTGCAGTCATGACTACCAACTTTACTATCGACCTATACGAGGTTCAACAGATAGTTTTGGATTATCAGAAAAAGTGAAAAACATCAACTACACTACTTCATAAACCCCTTCGCTCGCATGTACTACAAATTTAAATATAAGTTACCCAATGAGAATTAGTGTGCCATTTTCAAAGTTCTGTAGGGTGTTAATAAACCAATATGCTCTACTCAGCGATGAAATCTTGAGCCAAGTGTTTTAGCATGAATGTACTGGCTCTTTCCACCTGCAAATATAAACCCATACAAGTCTTTTACGATTGGCTAAGAAAAAAATCTCTTTATTAACAGTCACGTTTGCGTGAACAACTATTCACGATCGCCGAAACTCCTATGAGAAGTTATCCACAATACTTTGGATTTGTGTGCCCGTCAGATTCGAAATTGTGTTTGCACTATATGTCTGAATTCGTTTGATTTTTTTCACTCCAATCTGACTAAACAATGTATAGATGGCTCTTGCCTTCTGGGTCTTTTTTCGCAAATTGTCCTTAGTTATGTTTGGAAGATGGACTGTCATCTCACTATATACCTGAGACCTTGCCTGTCCATCACCGATTCTATTGTCACCATTCATAATTTCTTTAACCCGTTTTTCAAACCCTTCTGCATAGTAATACCAACACCAAATTTCCCCTTGATATGCATAAGTCACGTGTTTTTCTGCTTTGATCGCTTTTTGGTATAGCCGGGCCAAACTTTGGGACAATGATCCATCAGGTATCTCATTCTCCTCGGCTTCGTCAGATTCGTGTGGATAGTTCGGTTATCAAACCTTGTACTTTATTCGGAGGTGATGGTTCTCGATCTTGCTCGTTGTTGGTTTGATTCGATTGACTTTGTATGGGTGCATTATAGCAAAATTACGCAGACTGAATCTAAAAGTGAGATAGCGAGTAGGGAAGTTATTGAAAGTTATTTTAACTTTGGTGAAGCTATGAAAAAACGTTTCGATCATTACAAGAATCTAAAACATGGGGAACGAGCTTGCTTGGCTCTTGTTAATGATGAAATCCGGAAACAACTCCCCGATAATATCACCAATGATGCATTGAAAAAAAGAAAGGAGAGAGCGGGAAAAATATATGATTTATTTGTTAGTATTGGTAAAGAGAAAATAAGAGGTATTAGATCATTTTCGGCATCAACCATTTCAAACTTAAGTCAAGAAAATATTGATTATGTGATAGTCAAAATTTTAAAAAAGGAAAATAGAATATAATCGTTACTGCGCCATGTTACTGCGCCAGTGACATCGATGTCACGTCCGAATTCATACATTAATAAAGTTATAATTCTATTATTTCACAACTATATGCAGTATCATATGAATTATATGCACTGATTAAATGACCCGATTTTTTGTAAGCTTTACCGCTATTTAATCGTACGTCTACATGAAACATGCGGTGTTAAAATAAACTAATACCTCATTAATTGTTGTCAGTTATCCGTTATCTAGCAGTTAACCTGCCTAATCGCACGTAAGATAAGTCAAAATTTTGATTGGCTTCATTGTATACATCACTCGCAATATACATAACTCATATAATAACCCAGGCCCTATGAGGAAAATTGAATCATATTATTCTAGAGTATATAGTTATTAAATCAAATAGGTTAAATCCGATATAATCGCATAATCTCATATAATTAATAAATAAGTCATATAAATGGTTAGCTTAAGTAAATTACGTGGAACTAATTGTAATGATGCTGAATGGGATGAATATGTAAAGTTGCCACAAATTTATGATAATTAACTCCCAGTGAGTGGATGAAACGGATTTGGGAACGTCTTACATATTTTAGAGAAAATGATCTCTTACCTTATAATAGCAAAAAATATCTTGAAGCTAGGAAGTTAAAAAGATATTGGAATGATATTAATGGGCAGAGCCCAGACTCTTTGAGTCATGGATTTTATACAAGTTATGCACCTGAAATTGGTATTGCAATATGTTTCTCTTGCAATCAATTAGTATATACAGGAAAACGAACCAAAAATATAGGTAATTATAATCACATAGGAATGGAGAGGCATTGGGCCACCCATTGTACAGGAAACACCTTTTGTGATATAAGTTATGAAGAATATATGAAAATTAAGCAAAAACCTAATTCAGGATATAATTATGATAATAAGTATGCATTGCATCGATATGAATTATGGATGTCCAATGCTATTAAGAAAGTTAAGCATGCAAGAGAAGTTGGAAAAAAGATTCAAGCATGTATGTCTATAAAACATTTAGAGCAGAAATGCATCAAATTAACAACGTATAGATTCTTGATATCAATAAAATGATTTATTACCTACATTAATATAACAACATATAACTTATCTATTTATCTGCTTTATATATTTTTTTCATGTTAAAATCAACATGAACAACAAAAAACATTGATGCCACCTCACTTGGAATTGAACAGTACTAAATATCAACATTAATAAATTCATAAAAATACAAAACAAAACAAAATAGATAGCAGAATGGCTCATTAGAAACAGACACATGGCATGGATCGCAAGTGGACGAGAGAAAGAAATAGACTGGAAAGCATCATAGACAGCACAACATTCCACAAAAATATCTGGCAGAACAACAAGCAAACAAAATCATATAAGCCATAACTTCAGATACAAACTACTTAACAAAGAGCTTCCAACCTTCAACAAACTTAAAGAAAAAAAACCAGAATTATACAACAATGCAACTTGTACAATATGTGAAAAAAAAGAATTGCTACAACATCTAATACATATCCACTGGAAAAACATCATTATACAAGAATATGACAAAGTATTAAAACAAGAAATTAGCAGTAGAGCAATCAAAAAGAAAACAAAACAGGAAAAGAAAAGAAGACCAAAGATATATGATACAGAATTTATAATAACAACAATCTCAAAAAGCATCTTCACAAAAGAAATTATGGAATATATCAAAGAAGTAGTAGGAACCAAAATAGAAGAAACATGTGAAGCAATTACAAAACATATAAAAAAAAGATTAGAAAGCTATAGATAGAAAGATGTGAAGAAGCCATAAAGTGGAAAAAAGAACAGGAAATTACAAGAGCCGACAAAAAAAAAAGAACAAATTTTATACACAGATACCAAATTATGCAGAGCAAGAAACCAAAAGGAAAAAAAAAGAAAAATAAAAAAAATAGAGTGATAAAATGACAAAGTAGTATATAGAATTCAAGTAGAATGCACAAACAAACAATTTTACTAATATTTTATTTTATAATACTAATGGAGCCTTGACATATTAGTTCTAATCAATTTATCATAGAAAATTCTACAGTATAAATTAGATAGCTTAAAGTCAACATTTGAGAAATTCGATATAGTTCACTATACAAACAATCAAATTGATATTATAATATAATTATAAAACCAATGTAATATAATATATATAAACTTTAATAACAAATAAAGTATATTGGATAAAGCCTGACTAGTATTAAAAAAAAAACAATTTCAAGTATATTCTACTATCCATGACAACAAAAGCCATATTAACAAGTTTCAAAGAATCAGAAAGATAAAACAACAAGCCTGATCCAAGGTTCTCTTGAAGATATAATTTTTATTTTTACAGATTTTATAATTTACTTGATCAAGTTTTAGTTTTAATTACTTTTATTTTTTTTTCAAATTTCCTAAATATAAAAGTTTTTTTTTTGAATAGAAAGGTATAGCTGCTATTTAGCCTATATATGTAATAGAAATTAGTAAATTCTTGATGCAATTTGATACAATTATTTGATACAATTAATTGAGCCACTATTAAAACATATAAAATAATTGGATCAGACATAATTATTTTTGAGAATTTTAGCAATTGAGTTAACAGTAAAATAATTTATACCACATATATAATTCAGCCTATATTTAATAATTAATATAGTTTAATATTTTTTTCTTTACTAGTTAGACATAGTATGCATAGGCAAGCTAGCATTTAACTCACTGCAAATTGCATATGAGAGATGTTGTTTCTTTCTAATATGTATATTACAGAGTATATGAATAAATAAAGAAATGATGTTTTTCTACTCAAAAAAAAATAATATATTATTTGCATAGCTTTTTTTTTTATTAAAAAGCAGCTGAAAATATAAAAAATATTTTTAGATTGGAAATTATACTTGGAACAATATGAATCTTTATATTGTTTGGAATATAAAAGTCAAGAATAAAATTATTAGTTACTTTATTCAAAGATTAAAAAAGTATTCTTAAATATATTTTCAATATTACAATCTTTTTCAAATAAATAAATAAAATAAAAATACATAAGATATTATATATATTGTTAGTAGAAAAGTGGTATAGGGCATGATAGCATTACATATCCTGATACACCTTATGTCCCAATTTTCAATAAATAATATATAGTAGTCTATAGTGATACTTTATAATTTTAGAGTTTATATTGATTATAGTTTTCGATAATTTATTAGCTAGCATAAAGAAAATAAGCAAATAGTCTATTTTTGCTTAGTCAAGAGATGTGACATAATATTAATAGCAACATGTAACATACTATTATAAAAAGAGAAGAGGAGAGATGTAAATCATGCAGACATATAAAACACATAATATATAACATAAAACATACAATATACAATATAAAATATAGAACATATAACGATTGCCTTAATTAAAAACTTCCTAATTAAGATGTGTAATTGATATTGCAAAAAGAGTAAAGACTAATTAGCTTACTTAATTCAGTATTTGTCACAAGCAAAGGACGATAAGGAAACTACAAAAGAATATAGTAAAGATTTTATCAAAGGAAAATAACAATAGAAAGAAATGAAGAAATTAGCAAAACTTAACTAAATAAAAATTACATGCCTCAAGTAGAGAAGATTTAAATATTACCTGATATTATATGAGAAAAGCTCTGGAAAAGCGATTGACTCATTGAGAAAGACGTTAACAATATATTTATATAGGGCTTAACCTTTTGAAAAATATATACATAATGCCATAATAAATATAAATATAATAAAATAAATAAAAAAGAAATAGTAAAAGGAACTCTTTCGGCTGATCCTCTTGCCAATCCAAAAAACATACATTCTCAAAATAATTTTTATTTTTGATAATAAAGTCTATATACTTTCTTTAAAAACATTATTCTCTAAAGGCTGGTGCCTCCTCCACTTGTTTGCCCTTTCTTCTTCGAAAAAAAAAAAACTTTGGATATTTTAGCAACAAAATAAACAAAACTTTACCTATTTGGTCTACAGCAAGAACACCTTACTGGAAAGAAGAAACTTGTAGAAAAATATCCTTTATTACTTTCTTCTTAGGTCAGGAATTTCAGAAAGTGAACCACTAGTGAATGCATTTTTCAAGACCCATAAGAACCTTGGGTCCACCATAAGTGAACACCTTTTGTCCAAGGTGGATAGATAAGCTAGTTAAGCTGACCAGTGAATATATCCTCAAGTAACATGAGAACCTTGGATCCATTGTAAGTAAACTTCTTTGGTCCAGGCAGGTGAATAAGCTAAAAAAACCCAGATGTATGAACCTTTTCCACCATTCATACATGTCTGGTAGTTGGTACTTTCAAGCATATTCAATTTTTCTTGATTTTTCTAAAGAATTTTGCCTACCTCAGTTTGATCCTGAATTTTTTGTTACACCAAAAACTCTGGATGGTGATTGGCTGAAATCTTGGATTGATTGATCAACAAGTAAAAGAAATGTAAACAAGACACATACCCACACGTGCCCCATGTCATATCACATTATAACCGATGATATAATTGGATAAAGCGAAAGAGTAAGGAATTAAAGTGTTCTCTTGTTAAGAAGTGTTTGGAAGTCTTCTCCTCCCTTCTTGTACTAATTTCTTTTCTCCTCAAGGTCAAAGAAGGCTCTTATTAGGCTAGTGATTGGTTTTGGTGAAATTTTTATATTACCAGTACAAACTTTTCTCCTTTCCTTCTATCTTCTTAAAAATATAAAAATTTTTTTATACCTTAGGACCACAGAGGTTAAGTTGGGGTGAACAGTCTTAATGAAGGGCTGGCGATGATATTGAGATCCACAAGAAATGTGGGTCAAGATAAAGCAACTTTTTTCATTCCTCTTAATCACATCTAGAGGCCATTGGCTATTGACAGGGTGTATCATATAAAGTTTAAAAGTTTAACCTATAGTATAGATTTGTCAAACACTGGATTTGTCTACCCTATACATGTGGTGTAAATTATTTTGCTGTTGACTCAATTGCCAAAATTCTCAAAAATAATTGCGTCTGACTCAATTATTTTATATGTTTTAATAGTGACTCAATTAATTGCGTCAAATAATTGCGTCAATTGCGTCAAGGATCTACCAATTTCTACCACATGTATAGTCTACCCATTT